AATGTACTGTGAACCTCCACTCACAAGTGCTCAACCACTCGGTATTGTATATGGCCATCCAGCCTAGGGAAGATCCATCCCGGAATATATACACATCACTGACCGCAGTCATCCAGTACCGAGGAAGGCCATTCCAGCCCTATGGAGAAGATCCATCTCCAGGTATAAATACTTCGGACAAGATCCATGTCTAGGGAAGATCTATCCCTCAATAACATCAATTGCGCTCACTGGGGGTGTAAAGATTGCGGAGGGGCTCCTTTCAGCCCAAGCGCTATAACAAGCCAATGAAGGCATAATCAATATCCCGCTGCGGCGTGCAACCCGATCCCATATTGTCCCTCAATATCAAGCTCTCGGCCTCACTCAGTCATCACTCTCCAGTCTCACACATACGGGCTCAAAATGCCATGATACTAGCCCGAACAATGATATGATATGCCAAATAACAATAATCGAGACTGAGACATGATATAATATGCATGAACAGGACTAAGTACAGAATATCAATGAAGTTAATGATATGATAGCAAGAAACGACCTCTTGGGTCTATATAGTATCAATGTGAAGCCTTAACATGATAATTGGCATGATTTATAGCTCATTAACTTAATCACATAATCACAACATAGATATCAGCAAGAAAGAGTTGCTAAGCGATGCCATGGAATGATCCAGGCCGCAATTCTCACGGTGCACGCCCACACGCCCATCACTTGGCATTTGCGTCACCTCAATATTAATCATAGGACACATAGTTCGGGGTTTCGAACCCTCAGATCCAAGTTTGGAAGCGTTACTTACCTCAAACCAAGCCAAGACTTTAGCCCGCGATGCCTTTGCCTCTCGATTTGGCCTCCAAATGCTTCTAATCTAACCAAAATCAATATATTATCATCAATATACGCTAAAGGAATGAAACTCATACGAAAATTATCAAATTAACTCAAACATCCCGAAATTGGCCAAACCCGACCCCTGGGCCCGTGTCTCGGAATCCAGAAAAGTCGCTAAACTAGAACCTCTTCTCACTTCCGAGTCCATACATACCAAATTCATCAAAATCGGACCCCAAATAGTCCCTCAAATTCCCAATTTAAACTCTCCAATTTCAAGCCCTGATCTCCCAACTTTCTTCCCTAATTTCCACTAATATTATGATTAAGCAATGGAAAAATGGTCATAAACACAAGTAATAAAGCTTAAGTAGCTTACCCAACTGATAACCCTTGATCCCTCTTGAGAAATCACTCCCCAAGCTCAACTCCCGTCTTAAAAAATGGAGAAACTTAGCAAAATTCACGAAAAAGACCTTTTTATACCTACTACCCAGTGTTTTCCGCATCTGCGATCTCAGAGTCACTTCTGCGACGCCGCACCTGCGACACCACACCTGCGGAAAAACCAACGCAGGTGCGATTTTCACTTAACCCTAGAATTCCCGATTCTGCGGTCAGCTTCCCGCTCTTGCGGTCTCGCAGGTGCGGTCCTTGTGCGCACCTACAGTTTTCTTCAGCTCCTCAATTCTCCGCATATGCGGTCCAATCTCTCTTCTGCGAGGCTCGCACCTGCGGTCCCCAATTCGCATGTGCGGAAATGGTAGAAGCAGCAAAGTTCAGCTGCTCAAACCAAATTCCAAATCCTTCCGTTAGCCATCCGAATTCATCCCGAGGACCTCGGGGCCTCTACTAAAATACCAAAAAGTCATATAACACTATACAAACTTATCCCAACCTTCAAAACAACATCAAAACACCAAATCGACCTCGGATTCAAATCTAAGAACTTAGAAACTTCCAAATTCTGCATACGATGCAAAAACCTATCAAACCTCATCCGAATGACATGAAATTTTGCACACACGTCACAAATGACACAACAGACCTACTTCAATTTTTGGAATTCCATTCCGACCCCGATATCAAAATCTCCGCTGCTGACCGGAAAATGCCAAATTTCTAATTTCGCCAATTCAAGCCTAAATCTACCAGGGGCCTCCAAAATACATTTCGATCACGCTCCTAAGTCTCAAATCCTCTAACAAAGCTATCCGAACCATCAGAATTTACATCCGAAACCTTCTACACATAAGTCAACATCTGGTTGACTTTCTCAACTTAAGCTTACTCAAAAGAGACTAAGTATCTCATTCCTCTCCAAAACCACTCTGAACCCCAACATACCAACATGATACGATGAAATGCGGCTGAACAATACATAAAGAAATAGAAATGGGGGAAACAAGGCTGAAATTCATAAAACGTCCGGTTAGATCGTTACAATCATATAAGCCATATGAATGGACTTTAGATGCATATCAAGTTTTTATGTCATGCTAGACATATAAGATAGATAAAGGTGATTGCACACACTATTAACTTTATACTTTCAAGTGTTTGAACTATATGTCCAAAACTACATGTCTTTCATATGAAACTAATTCTATTCGAATTTTGTCTCTTCCATTTGGCCAATATTTTTGTATCTGTATTTGACAAACTTAAGATCCTCATCTATATTAGTGCTATCATAGATGTCATCGACGAACATTTTATATCGATTCCTATATTTTTTCATAAAGTCATAACATAGAGATCTCTTCCTTCATATTTTCAGGTACCTAAACCTCTCCTGGGATTTTATGAAGTATTCTGTCATGTGATCTTCTTGATCACTTGCCTCCTTTATTATGATCATTTGTTCATCTTCTTTATCAAGAAGTTTATTTGAAACCAATTTATCTATATGCTTTAAGCATACATGACTTTATCCTTCTAGGACTTAATATGAGCATTTGCAATGAGAATATAGTTACTTTCTTTGGGTTAGCAAATGCGTCTAGCATGTTTTGCAATATATTGCAATTGAATTATCCTTTTATGAACTTCAAGTTCATATTATTTTATTCGATGATCTAGATGTACACATGATAATTCATTCCATGTAATATTTTCTCAACTGTTTATCATGTCTCCCCTTCATATTAGAAAAACTAGTTTCCTCAACTTTGAGAACCCATCTTTGTGCGTTATGGTATTAATCAAAATACACCACATATCAATAATAATAAGATGAAATTATTTGGTTTCNTATATATATATATATAACTTTATTCTCATAAAAAAATAGTTTAGCTATTAAGTGGGGGCACTCAATAAATCATTTTGCTAAATCAACTGTGATATAAACCAACTTATCAAAATTAACTGTCTTGAATAGAAATCTGGAAATTATGCTCTAAATTAAATTATTGAGCAAGTTACCTCGCAAACATCAGGTTGCGGGTTAATAAAAATCGCACATGTAACCATCTCATAAATGCATCTTATGTGGTGTACATGGCAGGTGAATGAGCCCATATTCACTTTTGATATTTCCAGCATTCATGGGATTCAATCCCAATTTTAATTGGTCTATTATTAATAAGAACAAGCAATGTAAGAGAATTCATAAAGAACATTTAGCCATGTGAATTCTCTTTTATTTTTGCATATCATACTTAAATTAACATGGCTAAATCAATTATGCCAATTGGATAAATTATCAATATTGATAAACTTCAGGTTTACACCATGATGTGTGCAATTATCAATAAGCTTCAAGTTTATTATGATATGGGTTTTTATATCAATAAACTTCTACTTTATTGTGGCACTTTTTTTTATGTAGTACAAATTAGAGAATAAAGCGGGTAAATTTTCACATATATATTACCCCGCTACAAGTTGTAATAATAGAAGATATTAAATCTTTCCTTTATTTATAGTCTCAATATAATCAACCGCTTTCGCGTATACTTTGGAAGCTGAATAAGTTTCTTTGAGACTTACTACAACACAATACCTTATTGGTAATCAATTTTGTTTCTCCAAAATAGTATAATTGGCTCTTGCAGAGTTCTCAGTTAATTTTATAGCACCACATATTCATCAATATCCATATGGTGACTATCTCTTTTAAAGAAAAAGTTCTACCATTATGGTTATGGTCAAAATTATATGCAAGAACTGTTTCTTGCATTACCGTTGTCTTTTAATAATCACAATGCCAAAATATTTTGGCGTAAAATATTTACGTGAACAATGACCATTCATGTCATAATAATGATATTATTTTTTTATATCATCTCTAACCTCCTTTTAGAGGTGAGTATGGTATATTCACTATCACTAGCACGTTTTATTCTTCAAGAATGAATATGTATTCAAAAATCACATGTTGTCACATTCACATCATGAATGGACCATAATCATCTATATGTGCTTTACAAAATCTCATGTCAAATCGTTGACAAACATTACTTTCACAGAGTGAAAGATTATTTTGAGAATCCTTATTATTCTCATTACCACAATGATGACGATTATAATTTTGTCTATTGCCACGTCCACATCCATTGATAACTTCACGGTAATAATTTTGTCTTCTTTCAGATTTATTACATATTACTACCACATTCTCTTAAGGGAACGAGAATGAAGCAAATTCAATAGGGCGGGTTTCCACTTCTTGTGCTCACGATCATACATGACTTTGATCATGGCAAGACGTAGAAATTTTACCAATTCGAGTGGTTATAATCAAAATTTATTTTCTTTGCTTGTATTTAAAATCAAATTATAGAATAAAAGAGAAAAATACGGTAAAATACATACCTTAAATCCAGAATTTAATCATGAAGCAAGTTCATGGAACAATTGACAATCATTATGTTCAATCCCAAAGCTTCTACTCAATTGGTTAGAGTCTCATACTGATAACGTGTTATAAAACAATAAAAGAAGAAGAGTATTGCAGAGAAAATTAGAGAGAGAGGATTCTTATTGATATTGGATGAATTATAATGGAATATGATCTCTCTATTTTTAGGGAAAGAGTAACTCAGCCACCAAGTATAATCCCTAAAATATAGACATTCAACGTAATTAAAATTTTATTTATAACAAAAATTGAATAGTTTAGACCATCTCAAACATAAGACACTGTTTTTGTCATTTTTTTGCTAAAACAAAAGATTAAGCTGGTTTGCCAGCTACCTCGTCTTCCCAGAAAAGAAAAGATATTTACAACCCGTTTAAGTCCCAATATTTAGGAGTTGTTCTTCCTCGCCAACATTCTCTTTTTCCCAAAGTCTCTTCATAGTTCATTCTCTTTTTTCCCCTTAACCAGATACAGTTATTTTTTCCAGATTAGAAACTGAACTTGTGAGTTAAACCTATTAAATCATATGCCTTTATTGTTTCTTATTGAATTTGTTATTTTTAACTGGACCCTTTGCACTTAATTTGAATCTTTCTGGGAAAAATTCTCACGACCCTTAAAATAGTTTGGTGATTTTTTTTTTTAAATATTTTTATCAATATATGAATTTCTGCACATGCCTCTGTTATCAAAGAAAGTCACGAGGGTTTTGTAAAACTATTATTTTGTTAGTTTATTTTTTTTATTTGNGTGGGGGGAGGGGTAAGTTTAGGTATTGATTTTGTTTGATGAGGTGGCCAAGAGAGGCTAGAAATATGCAATTTTTCTAAGCTAATGTCTAAGAAATACAATTTGCAGTTTGTTAAATTTATTACTTCTTGTTTGCAAAGGAATTTCTGTAGCTCAGAAATTCACGTGTTGATCTTTACATTTATCATTACTGTAGGGTGAATTTTATCAAAGTTGGACCTGAAAATGGTTTCTGAATTGATAAATGCCAACCCTATTGTGTATGAGAAGAAGGAGCGTCGAGATAGGAGTGCTCCAAGTGTTGAGGATGAATATACAGCTGAACCTATCGACCAGCTAGAGATTTTTGATATCCTTGTGCTAATGATGGCCGAAATCGGATTTTGTTCTTAATTTGTTATGCTAGACTTGAAATTAATCTTTCCAAGTTAAGGGAATTTCGATGAGGCTAAAATTCATCCACTTCAGAATTTATGAGAACCTTTAGAATGGAGCAGTACATGTGATCCATTGGAGCAGTACATGTGATCCATAGCGAACCTGCATGCTGAGTCTCTGAATAGCACTAACATACTATACTGGAAAATACCTAGAGAAATAGCAAACTAGAGTTAATTTTCATTATAGTTGTTTTTGATGTTTGTTGTTGTGCCATGTAGTTTTATAGGAAAGACAAAGTAAAAAAACCTTCAGCACCTTGGCGTACGAGGTATGTATATAAGCTTTCCCTTTTCATTTTAACATCATCCTTTTCTATTTTGGCTAACCCTAGAAGGAATTTGGAGTGAAGTAGGCATATTAAGTATATAGTTACTTTACAAAAAGAGGGGATATGTTGGATGATAGAAGTATGTGTCAGTTACTATGCGCCATTTTCTGTACAAGCATGGCCTTTCTATCTTTAGTTTGAATTTTCAGGAAACCAAAGAAATTGACTTATGTTTTTCTTGTTTTCTTTTCTTGAGCCGAGGGTCTATTGGAAACAGCCTCTCTATCCTCACAAGGTAGGGGTAAGGTCTGCGTACACACTACCCTCCCCAGACCCCACGGTGTGGGATAATACTGGGTATATTGTTGTTGTTTTTCTTGTCTTCTTTGCTTTTTCTCGGGTTTGTTTTGTCGCTTTTTTTGTGGGCATGCATTATTTGCACCTTCAACGTTGTTTTACATTTTTTGGGATTTCAGTGAAGGCAATACAAAGTTCACATTGTTTTACTTTTCCTAGCAAATGATGGAATATATTAGGATCATGTGTTACGGAAACTTGTAGGATCGTGCTACCTCCGGTTCTGATTTGAGGTACTGTTCTCCCTGGTTGGTCTTCATTGTGTCATTTTGAAGGGAACTAAGCAAGTGTGAAGTTTGATTAGTTGGGGAAACTTCTTAGCTATGAAAAGTCAATTATTCCATAACATTCTTACACCATATTAGAGATATAAAAGATCCAGAGCATCCCTATTCTCTGGAAGAGCTGAAAGTTATAACAGAAGATGCTGTTGAGGTAAATGACGAGCGAAGCTATGTAAGGTGAGATAAATAAATCTGTTTCATATGTTCCTGTTTTGATTCTGTGTGGCATTTTTCATGTTGTCTAAGAAGCGGAAGTTCTTGGATTCAGGGTCAGATTCACGCCTACTGTTGAACATTGCAGCATGGCGACCGTTATTGGATTATGCTTGCGCGTGAAACTTATGCGATGTTTGCCTTCCCGTTATAAGGTGTGCTTCATGGCCCTTCTATTACGATTCAATAGGCTTATGTGTGTTACACATCTTTTCCTGTAAAAAGCATATTACAGTGGATAGAATTTTATGTTATAATTGATGTGCTATTATGATATTATAGAAGTCAACAATTCTCAAAATTACAGCTTACTGGAGATGAGGTCACATGTGGCTGTATGTGTATTTTCTTAGAACTGTTAATGACTTCGACCTGAAAGTAGCTTCCTTGGCACTAGTTGGCGTAAATCTTCAGGCATATATCCTAAAGTCTCGTGGGTTTTTTCGAAAATTTTCAGCCATTTGTAAATATGGTTCCTATTTGTTAAACGTGTTATTACTGGGCGTGGGTAGATTCTGACCAACACGGCAAGTATCGTAATCTGGCCAATTTTAGGCCATAATTTAATTCAACCAAGCCATTACTTCAATTGTGGTATGTTGAGTATTAAATGGCAAGTTTTCCTTTTGTGTCTAAAACGATGCGCAGTAAAGAAAATAAAGTGACAAGAATTAGGAAAAGGAAAAAGGACACGCACACAAAGATACAAAGAGAGAGGGAGAGAGAGAGAATTTATTAGTAGCTCGAGCATAGAGCGTATGCACATATCCATCTGCCTATGGTTCTTGTTACTCTAGCTTGAACATCCCTCAGCTTGCTTCACCGTAGCTGCCTGGTGACCATAGTCAATTTCATTTTCTACAGAAATACTGGATAATACTGGGTATGTTGTTGTTGTTGTACAGAAATAGTTGGGAAGCTTGGAACTCTATTGTGCTTGGTTTTTGAAATTACAGCCGATCTTTGTAATTCTGAATTCTTCTATTCTAGCCCCTTCCAAATTCTAATGAATAACAATGACAACACTACTGGTTTTTCTTCATTGGTGTTATGTCATATATGTTTCCCCTTTAGATGCTATAATGATATTCGATCTAGTCGCTTGTGGCTCTAGCTTTGCTTCATTTGAGAGGGAGGTGGGACGAGTAAAGGCTGTGGGAAAAAATGTTGGAATGGAAGGTTCGAATGTAGAGTCTAATCTGTGGTCTAAATCATGGTTTTGGGTGTAATTTTGTTATATAGAAGTAACTTGGGAAAATGATAATAGTAAAATAAATCAATGAATTTGTATCATGTCAATTTGCTTTATTTTGTATATCATATTTTCCAGGAAGAGTGGTAATAGAGGAAGACTTATTCCTCCGTGTACTGTAGTAATCAAGTAGATCGACATCACTTAAAACTTAGAAGTGTTTATTAAAATGATTCCAATTACGCTTTCTCACCGGAAATGTGGTTTTCAAAGTAGTTTACCATTTTCTGGCCTTGACTAAAGCAGTCCAACTACTTGTAAGAAGTTTTCTCTAATTAGTGTCTCAAAACTTTATTTGCAAGCCGTTAAGTGGTCACAACTTTTTAAGGTAAGTTGATTCAACTTTTTAAGGTTGTTGTGTGGGTTTTTAACTCTTAATATTTTTTTTCTAGTCTTTTTAACTTTCATATACTAAAAAATGCTTTAGCCATTCTAATGGGAATTGTCGGATTTCTCTTTATCTTCTATCAGTATAAAGAACCGACATTTTCTTTTCCTCTGATTAATCTAGTTTCTTTGATTTGTTTTTGTTGACATACAAGTTGTCTAGCACATGTATACACATGTACTACATCATAGCTAGCACATGTCTATGAGTTGTATAGTAGGTGTAATACAAGTTGTGTAGCACATGTATACACATGTACTACATCATAGCTAGCACATGTATATGAGTTGTATAGTAGGTGTAATTAGGTGTATGACAACTAATAGATTAGGTGAATTAGTATTATAAATAGGCCTTGTAATCTTCTCTTCTAGATATGAAATATAGAACTTCTTTGGTTTCTAACATGGTATCAGAGCATTGAAGTTTTTTCATCAGTTTGTTGTTGGGAATTTTTTTTTCCCCGTTCGAATTATTGTTGTTCAGAACAGTTTTTCGCTGCTTTGATTCTATTTCACTATTTCCGGTCATTTTTTCCTGACAACTTTCATTTTCCAAGATCACTGTTCACTGTTCAGNAAAATATTTGGTTGTACTTGTTTTGTTCGTGATGTTCGTCCACAGGTAACTAAATTAGATCCAAAGGCCCTTAAGTGTGTGTTCTTAGGGTACTCACGTCTTCAGAAAGGTTATCGGTGTTATTCTCCAGATCTCAAAAGGTACTTAGTGTCTGCCGATGTCACATTCCATGAAAATTATCCGTTCTTTTCTTCATATGTTTATAACAGTCCTGAGGAAGAAGATGATACTTTGGTCTACACTGTCACACATCCAGTTAGTTCTCCAACACCTCTTCCTCAGTCACCCGTTTCCCTCGATCGACCATCCGAGCAGCCACCTGTTCTTCGTGTGTATACCAGGCGACAACAAACCTCAGAACCCGATCCTTTACCTACTTCTGCTTCGTCGGTAGATCCAACCTCCTGTGTTTCAGATCCTAGTTTGGATCTTCCTATTGCCATTCGCAAAGGTACACGACAATGTACTTATCCTATTTCTTCTTTTGTGTCTTATGACCATTTGTCTACTTCTTCTAGCTCGTTTATTGCATCATTAGATTCTGCTAGGATACCTAAAACTGTTCGTGAAGCATTGTCCCACCCAGGTTGGCATGATGCAATGATAGAAGAGATGATGGCTTTAGATGAGAATGGTACTTGGGAGTTGGCCGATCTGCCCACTAACAAAAAGGCTATTGGGTGCAAGTGGGTATTTGCTGTTAAGTTTAACTCCGATGGGACAGTAGCTCGCCTTAAGGCACGCCTTGTTGCAAAAGGGTATGCACAGACCTATGGAGTCGACTATTTGGATACTTTTTTCCCGTTCGCCAAGTTAGCTTTTGTTCGATTATTCATTTCCATGGCAACTACTTATGATTGGCCTCTGCATCAGCTTGATATAAAGAATGCTTTTCTACATGGGGATCTTCAGGAAGAAGTATATATGGAGCAACCACCTGGGTTTGTTGCTAGGGGGGAGTGTGGAAAGGTATGTCGTCTTTGAAAATCTCTTTATGGGCTGAAACAGAGTCCCCGTGCTTGGTTTGGCAGATTTAGTGAGGCTGTTCTAGAATATGGGATGAAGAAAAGCAATTGCGATCATACGGTGTTTTATAAAAAGTCTGATGATGGTATTCTTTTATTGGTAGTATATGTTGATGACATCGTTATTACTGGAAGTGATATTACAGGAATTTCAACTCTAAAGTCTTTCCTTCACACTCAATTTCAGACGAAAGATTTAGGGCAACTAAAGTATTTTTTGGGAGTTGAAGTTACACGGAGCAAGAAAGGCATCTTCTTGTCCCAAAGGAAATATACTCTTGACTTGTTAGCTGAAACTGGAAAGTTGGGATCTAAACCATGCAGCATGCCAATGGTTCCTAACACACAACTCGTGAAAGAAGACGGTGAGTTATTCGAAGATCCAGAGAAATATAGGAGATTGGTTGGGAAACTGAACTATCTTACAGTAACTCGTCCCGATATCGCATACTCTGTCAGCATTGTGAGTCAGTTTATGTCTTCCCCAACAGTCAGGCATTGGGCGGCTCTGGAGCAGATTCTTTGTTATCTAAAGGGATCTCCAGGACGGGGTCTAGTATATAAGAATAATGAACACACTAACATTGAGTGTTTCACAGATGCAGATTGGGCAGGGTCAAAAGCCGATAGGAGATCCACGACAGGATATTGCGTTTTTGTTGGTGGAAACTTGATTTCGTGGAAGAGTAAGAAACAAAATGTCGTATCTCGATCTAGTGCGGAAGCAGAATACAGAGCTATGGCACAATCTGTGTGTGAGGTTGTATGGGTACATCAACTATTAAGTGAAGTTGGCTTCCAAACTACATTGCCAGCAAAGTTGTGGTGTGATAATCAAGCTGCTCTTCATATCTCCTCTAATCCTGTATTTCACGAAAGGACTAAGCACATTGAAATAGATTGTCACTTTGTTCGTGAAAAGATTCAGCAAAAGCTCATCTCTACAGGTCATGTTAGAACTGGAGATCAATTGGGAGACATTTTCACAAAAGCTTTGAATGGAGCTCGAGTTGAATATATCTGTAACAAGTTGGGCATGATCAATATATATGCTCCAACTTGAGGGGGAGTGTTGACATACAAGTTGTCTAGCACATGTATACACATGTACTACATCATAGCTAGCACATGTATATGAGTTGTATAGTAGGTGTAATACAAGTTGTGTAGCACATGTATACACATGTACTACATCATAGCTAGCACATGTATATGAGTTGTATAGTAGGTGTAATTAGGTGTATGACAACTAATAGATTAGGTGAATTAGTATTATAAATAGGCCTTGTAATCTTCTCTTCTGGATATGAAATATATAACTTCTTTGGTTTCTAACAGTTTTTTCAACAGTTCTCCTGATAAAAAAATTGGCATTCTGCTTCCTATAACTTTCGGTTAATATGACAGCCTAACCTGTAACCCTTCAGCCAATCAAGAACTTGTTAACTAGTATTTAACTCTGAAGTTCTAAGTTTGATACGGAAGTTGCCATAATTTCCTGCTTCATTTGTTAAAAGCTGTTCTGAGTTTGATCAGCATATTATGAATATTCTTCTCCATTCCATGTATAAAATCTGTGCTTTAATTTTTGGCTGCTTTACACTAATACCAGTTTCTAAACTAAGCATTTCACCAAAATATTTTGAAATATTAAGACAGTAAGACCTTGAATTTGAGCCCCCTCTTTCAGAATTTATAAGCTAAAATCTTCTAATAAGATATGTACTTTCTACTTCAATAGAGTCAACATCAGACTAGACATTCATCTTAAGGCTAAGTGATCAGCCAATTACATGTTTGTTTTCTGATTAAAGTTCTTTAGGCCTCATTTGTTTGCACTTAATGGAGATCTGAATCTTCATCATTCAGATCTCGGACATTAAATGCGTTTGTTTTTAAAGACTGAATCTTAATTATTCAGATCTTAATCATTAAGTGTGTTTGTTTTTTTTACTTCATAACCACTTAATGAGTCTGAATAGATATGTATGATTAAGATCCATAACAGAGACTTAATTTCATTAAGATGCTATCATCTATATTCATTATTAATTGTCACCACCGCCTACCATTATCAACTACCACCATGCCACCACCAACTCCACCATAATCAACCACCACCACCATCATCCTCAATCATAGCCGCCGCCATAATCGACTACCACCACCCGCCATCCGCACCATTCCCACCACCATCATTCTCAACCACAAACAACACTCATCCACCTCAACTACCACAACTAACCACCTCATTACCATCAACAACCATAACCGGCACTACCCATCATTATAAACTACCACCACTGTCCTCAATCACAACTACCACCACTGTCCTCAATCACAACTACCACCAACACTTGTCATTATTAACTATCACCACCACCATTCTCAATCATAATCGCCACCACTACTAATCACCACTAGCTACTACCCTGAACCACCACCATCTACCAAACTTACCACCAACCACCGCCTCTAATCAGCATTCACAAGCACCACTGTTGGCCATCACCACCACCAACTACTATATTTTTAAAAAATTATATATTTTATTGATAGAATATTAGACTAATTAGTATTTCATTTGAATTTTATGTTTATTAATTTTTAAATAAAGATAAATTTTATACATTCAGATGTTAAAAATCAAACATTATTAATCATTTAGTATTCAGATCTTAATACATCTTCAATATGTGTATTCAGATGTGTATTCAATATTCAGATGTGTATTCAGATTCAGACGTCTTAATCTAAAAAAAAAAACAAATGAGGCCTTAGTCTGGTTTGAGAATCTTTTTAATCAGGTAAAGTAAGATTTCATTCAATAAACATCCAGGGGATGCAACTTATTACAAAAAGAGTTAGCTCCTGTACATTTACTTGTCTCCTCTCTCAAAATTCAAGTAGCTGACAAAATCCATAAACAGAAGGGGATTAGTTACAACACAAAAATTTCACCAAGCAAAAATGATAGACTAAACGTCCAGCCTTTAGAACATGTCTGGAGTTGCAATTCCATCAAAACACCTCTGATTTCTTTTCCCTCCATATGCACCAAATAATACTCTGTGGATCATATACCATGTATTTCTGATGGGTTTTCCAGCAAACAAAAGCCTCCTTTGGGCTACTAGACATCACCCAACTAATACCAAAAAGATTCCACAACATATACACTGGACAATGTTAGAACAGATGGTCTAGGCTTTCACTTTCTCCGATGCATAAAATAGCATCTATTACATAGTATTATACCTCTCCTATTTAGATTATCTTGTGTTAAACATGCTCCCAGGATTGCCAACCAGTAAGGCATGCCACTCGAGTTTTGGTTAAAGACTTGTACATAAAGGTAGGGATAAACGTGTAAAAGTGTGTTTTAGAGCACCCTTTAGTTGTGGAGAGCTCTCAATTTTTCCTTACAAGACAAATTCTTTATTATTGGAATAAATGGACCTGAAGGGAGCCTTGACGTAACTGATAAAGTTGTTACCATGTGACCAGGAGGTCACTGGTTCAAGCCGTGGAAATAGCCTCTTGCAGAAATGCAGGGTAAGGTTGCGTACAATAGACCCTTGTGGCCCGGCCCTTCCTCGGGCCCCGCGCATAGCGGGAGCTTAGTGCACCGGGCTGCCCTTTTTTGGAATAAATGGACCTGATGGAGTTAAAGGGATATAGGTGATTCATATAAATCTCGACTAGTTTGAGATTGTAGCTTAGTTGGTTGACAAAAGTGAATGGTAGTCGAGCTTTCAATATCACAATAGTTGTGGATGGGGAAAAAGTTCTAGCCCGTTCGCTCAGTCTTAGGTTAAGTGGCAAATCGCATTCTCATTCTCGATCTTCCTATGCAGCAAAAGTTGCCACCTTGAAATTTCCTTGTGCTTTAACTACTTTTGGGGTACATAATATGGATAATCTGTATTGGACGTGTAACCCAGTCTCTCTGTGCCTTATTATATCAATTTTTAAGTTGCATTCTAAACTACAACAATGAAGTAATGATGAAAAGACTTCTGTTGGAATTCATTTATTTTGTTTGAATATTTTGCAAATATCTCATCCTTGAAGTTTTTTGTTGATAACTAGCTGTGTCGTTAAATTGTTTATCGATTTACAAGTTTCCGGTCTGTTTGTTTTTTGTTAACATATCCTTGTTATATTGCCAGGTGGATATTAGAGTAGCACCTGGGAGTCATGCCACGGAAGCTGCAGGTACCGTCTGTCTGTCAATATCTGTCACAGAACATCCAATCTTTAGCTACCATTTTCCTCTAACCACCACTACCCACAACAATCTTAAGCTCCGATTCTCTAGTTGTCACTATGCTGGACTTCTTCCATTTGAACCTGCCAGGCCTGCATTTGTCACACCCTATTTGCTTTGACAAAAGGATATCTTCCTTTTCCGATGATGCTCACAAACATGCTTATTATATTTGCCCTCTTTAACATACCGCAGGGGCATAGAGCTGATTTTGGCTTTTCTTTTATTTCGTATATGGTGTTCGGCCTTTTTGTTAACATAAAGTTACAACATATCCTTGAGTAACTATCAAAAAGTTCATAACATATCCCAGAAGAAAAGAGACGGAAAAGAGAAAACCATACAAGTTTCTTTTTTCTTTTTAAATCATAAAGCATTAGCACTAGAGAGCTTTTTTAGGAGTAGTGTGCAATTGCTATATATCCAGCAACTGATCATTTATTTTCTCTCTGCAGTAAATAAGCAGTTGAACGACAAAGAACGGGTAGCTGCAGCATTGGAGAACCCTAACCTTGTCGACATGGTTGACGAATGCCTTGCTCCATCTTATGCATGAGAAAGTCTTTGTTCAGTATATGGAGATACAACCTGAAAGTCTTTCCTCGTGGCATATTAGGTGTTGTTGTTTTTAAACCTCTTTTCATTGGTTTTATTTAATTCATTAGATTAATAAGGTTGTTCTTTAGTTAAACTGTGAAATCACAATGTAGTGGCTGGTATGACTTATGAGATAGGCTGTATCTTTATGAAGAGATGTATTGCAGTATTTATGTCATCTTACTTGGTATTTTCAGCCTGTAAATATATATACAGGTCTTGGATTTTCATGAAAATGTTACTTGCAAAGCCTGAATAAAAAAGTAATAACCGTATCCACTGTTGGCGGTTTCGTTATGACATACTTAGAAGATTGCAAGTTTTGACATTACAATATTTCGATTCGTGCAAATTCTACTTTCAAAATTAGTGTGATACTGCACTGAATGCCAAATATTTAAGAAATTCAAAATCTCATTTTTCCTCAAGACAAGTGAAAAAGGAGTTTTCAAATGATGTGGAGTCCCAATTCCCAGTCGGTCTAACACCGAGTGTGAATGAGTATTTGCTATAGTATTTGTATCATCAACGTGATGCAATACACTGATGACTGATGGAAATTCAAAAAATACGGAGAATTCAGTTTCAGAAGTTGGAAAAGAAGTCATTTCATCATATTTGGCTCCATCAAGTAATTCATGACATAAATACTCAGTACAATTCTCGCTCATTGTACAGTAAAGGAGTCTATCATGGTGGTTTACAGAGAAAATTTGACACCTTCATCATCGGCTGAAGTTCCCTTAAATATCGCAAGCTTCCCCTTATGTTCAAGCAGCTTCAAAGTGCGCGTAAGAACTGTACGGTCCATTCCATGAAGCTCTGAGCAATAAAATGCCAGATAGATGACATGATAAGGAAGCAAATAAAATAGAAGAGATAAGAACATAAGATCTCCATCAATCCAAGAGTTGATGAGTAAAGTTTGTCATAACATAAAATGTGCGGGAATTCACTACTAAACATAATAGTGAGATGTTAAACTGAAAAAAATTTGATTATGTATCACCATAATTTCCGTTACATGGTTTATGACCTAGTAGTTCAAGATGGAAACAAGCAGATGGTCATATAGTGAGAGAAGGGAAAATTGAAACCATCAACTATTCTCAGTCTATCTAAACATGTTTTATGCATAGAAGGCAAGTGAAATGCAAAAGATTTAAAGAAGAAGAAGAAGAAGAACCAATGTGTAGATTTTAAAACCCAAATCTTTACCTGTTCCATGGGACTCCGTCCCAGAACGTATTTCTTCAACTGTCATAACACTGTCCTCCAGCCCATACTCCTTTACCTAATCAGATAAAAATATTTCCATAAGGAAACCGGTAAGGCTGGGGAATGGTAGTACATTGCAAACACAACTACAGTGTGAACAAGGTTAAATAATAATTCATCAAACATCTCCAAAACCAGACTGCATCCATCCCCAAATATGGTATATAGCAGTCCCCAACAAGAACCTAATTGTTAAACGTTAAAATCATATCTTTTCTAGGATAATACTCTGAGAGAAATTCAATTCAAACGAGCAAACCGCAAAAGCAACTTCAGATAAATTTAAGAAGAACAAGAAAGCAGGAAAATGGAAGCTAGGAAGAAGTCTCCCGGGGATTGTTGAAGATTGATGATAAACAGGACCATGCAGCGCCACTCTTTATATAATGAATAACACATAGAGAAGCAAAATGATTCTATTCTCAGATAGTTAGATGGGGTGGTAAGGGTGGAGTGAGGGAGAGCATGAGGAACATGGATTGACAGGGAGTATAAGACTATTAAAGAATTGAAAATCAGGAAAGGAAATTAGGGGTTTTCCCATTTGCCCAAATTTTCTCCAATTCATCATTTCAGTTCCAGTCAGATGTTTACCATATGCTATCTTCACCCTGATTATGGGGATCTGTAACTGTCGTACAATTTCAAAAACATTTGTCAAACAACTTAAAACATGGTCTAAAGTAAAAGAGGCTCTTTTGGACAATCTCTACTTTTTTGTTAGTATAATAACAGCATATGATATTTGAGTATGATACCCTAGAATGAGTCCTATATGTGTCCTATATCCAACAACTAATCATTGTGTAGTCCCCTCAAACACAGATACATTCCTAACCTACCGGGTTCTACAATCAACTAGCTTGTTGAGTTAGGACCATGCTAAACTAAAAACAGACAGCAATTATTTTAAGGTTGCATACTCACAAAGTTTACAATCAAGTCTGCCCAGTCCTGGATGCGATGCCATAAGATTAGACATTTTCTATGACCTTTATCCATCCATTCTGCACGACCTGGCAAATAGATCGGATTTAGACATCTGGCCTTCTGCAGTATAGTGAACTCTCATACCAATAATAGGTTCAACATGATCATTAAAACTGGCAAGATCGCTTACCATCAGAAACCAAAGCTGAGAGAAATGCCTCCCTAGCTTCATGACTCAGAGATCCTGCACTACCAGAGGTCATCTGTATTCAGTTGTGGAATACTAAAATTGCCAACATTACAGGTTAAAAAGATTTTCATCCAGTCAGAGGCAAGCTAAACCACATAAAGAGATCAGCACATTTTCAATTAGCTAAAAAATGCAAGGATTTTGCAAATTAAAACAATTTACAGTTTCTTTTTGTTAATATGGTCCGTGAACTGACATGCATACTTCACGGCATAGAATTAGAATGATCGAAGAAATCTCTTCAGAAACCTTGTGCTCCAGATGAATAAGTACTACAGATTCGCTCCATTAAACCTCATAACATCAATTTTTACAGTTTGATCATTTATGAGAATTTCTTACTTCCCTTGAAAACATTTTGCAGAGGAAAAGAAATTCATTGGAGGCAATGCACGTGTGGTTTAAAGACAATTTCATGTTGCTAGATAAGCTAAATGTTGATTATTCCATGGCGTGTGACTGTTAGATAATCCCGTGATATTTTGATACTATAGCAGAAATTTTCTAAAAGGATATGTAACTTTACGCCAATTCAACTTTAGTGGCATTTACTTTCTTTTTTCTGTTTCACCTCTGCTTTTATTATTTTCCTAAACCATCCAGTCCACCAATTCCTTGGAATTAGGATGGTAACCTACTGATGCACATGTAATTAATCCATTTCCTTCCCTGATTGTAGTATCATCTCTGTTTCCAACAACTGAGAAAATCAGCAAAAGTAGAGAAAATGAAAAAGATATTTGCATATGTTTAGCTGAAAAGACATGATATATTTTATGTAATGCTGGGATCATCTTAGTCCAAATGTGTGTGCATGCATGAGAATATCCATTCCATCTCTGCTTCCTCATTAATATCAAGTCAAGCTTTGCTTTGGCAATCTTGTAAGAACCAATGTTTTCCACTTCTACAAGGATGCACACGCCACCAAACAAAAGGAGACAACTCTAGACGGTGATAGTTATTCCCTTCTTTCAAAATTGAATGAAACTCTTCTCATTTTGGGATGTTCCAGAATGTTGACACCATGTCATTTCTATACAACTTTCACGACGTTTATGAATTCAAATTCATTAAAATATGCATTTTTACACTTTGATGTAAAGCTTTCTGTATAAAATATCACGACTTACTTTTCAAACTATCACTTTAATATTCTTCTTCCATTTATCACTACTATAATATAAGTCAAATTAACATCTTAACTTCACATAAATTGGAATGGAGGAGGTATTTTACGTTCCACTGATGTTCTAGATCACTAGCTTTATGAATTTCTAGGCACCTTGAGTTCATTTTACCCAAATCAATAGTTAGGGTAATATATATAACGCAGCTCCTTAGCTGAACATCAGATATATAAAAAACTAATAAGAAGAAGCACTCACTTTCAATAGCAGGATTACTGAACAATGGAAAGTCTTCCTCCAGCCCAATTACAAAGACCTTTTGGGTTCGACAGAAATCAATTATGAGCTCCTTCCATAGCTGTATCTGCTTCTCCCTAGTTTCCCTTACAGGCTGCAAACTAAGGAAAGAAGAAAAATTATCCTATGTGCAAACTAAGAATCTTCTAATATTGCTCGAGGAAAAGTTTAATTTAATGCGCAACAAATAAAGATAATAGTTTTTTTTGGTGAGAAACCATCTTAAATCCCCTTGAAAGATATGTTACCACCATGCTTAAAGCTACAAGTCAACATTTCACATATAGGCGAAAGAATGTCATTTTCTTTTGCTTGTACACCATCAGATGTTAACCAAAAATTCTCCACTTTCGAGAAAAGAATCCTACGGTGTTAGCTTCATTAAATCCTAATTATCGGATCCAAGATCGAAGATAAAAAAATCCAGCAGAATTCTTAGACCAGATACCAGATATAACTAGATATAACTGTAGTATTTATCATTTATCTTGACTTAAACGCGCTCAAAAGTTTGAACTTTCACATTTCAATAAACACAATTTGTTTGATAAACAATTACTATATAACAGCATTAGTTTTTTTCCACAAGGTTGAAGACTATATTACAAAATCCAAGAAAAGAAAAATGATTTTTTTTGGCTCAAACTATCTGAAGTTTGAATCACGGGCAAAGGCCTAATTGCTGTTTTCAACTACCATATAAAACATTGATTAATTAAAGATTTGATGATTGCATAATGGCTAAAGTAAGTGGAAATTACTTCTATATGATTTTTAGTTGTCTTTTCTCTTTCTTTTGATAAGTAAGAAGAGATACTTTGTTTTGACTTTTGACAATAAATATATGACAAACAAAGAGCAGACGATAGACTATCAGAAAATTGTCAAACGATTATCACTCGGGTTAGTGTTGAAGTGGCATGATAAAGTTAAACTCACTCGGGTTAGTGTTGAAGTGGCATGATAAAGTTAAACTAGATAGAATTGCAAGTTGTTTGGCAACTCTATTCATAAAACTAAAAACAAGCTTGCCTAACATGATAAAAGGTTGGACTTACACATGGAGGTGAAACAATAAAAAAAGCTGTGTATATACTATGAAAATCTTATATGTTACAGATTAAATGGAAAAACATGTTTTCATCTACCCAAAAAAAGAGTGGATAGCAGATGAATGGAAGCATTAGCTTATCAGAAATCCATAAAAACAATTCACGCTTGGTCGTTTCCAGTTTTCAAGATACAGCAACAAAAAAGCAATCCAAACTAAATTTCTGCAGGTAGATCTAAATGATTTGTCATCCAAATACTGAGACTATGACTGCATCTCCCGATTAGAACTTTTCTCAACCAATTTTACTTTCTCCTAATAAGCAAATGTATACATCCATCATGCACCATACCAAAAAATTCAGTGACTCGTATAGCCAACCTCCACTGACTTGGGAAATTGGGATTGAGGCGTCGTTGATTGATATCTACTGCTGCCAAATTGCAGGTTCATCACCCCGTCCAAGGATAGGGTTTCCATCATATATATTGACCGAACATGTTCAAATATAGGCAAGGATACATATGGAGACATGAAATAAAGGAAGGAGAAAATTACGTGAAGTAAGGTGGATAGTTGAAGAAGTTAGGCAGCTTGAATTCGCCCAGCTTCTGCATCTTTCTTGAACTACTTCCTTCTCTGCCTCACCTGCTTGTTCAAAAAATAGCCCCTTGTAATAATAAAGACATAAAGGAAGAAAGAAAAGAGAATAATATCACCAAAATTAACCTGACACTAGTGGTGGCAAATGGCAGGTTGATTGGATTTGGACGGGTTCAAAACAAACAACAATGACAACTACGGCTCAAGGACGAACTAAATATGAGTTAAAATAAAGGGGTTTTTTCATTCCTATCCACTATTAGAAACTTTATTACCCTAAATGTCCATGTTTAGTTAATTGCCCGGCATAAACAAGTTTGGTTTACAAAATATATACAATCCACCTTAAAAGGCTCCCAAATCCATTATTTGTGTCTTCAATCAAGGGATTTAGTTACACCCTTTACTTTTTTTCTCTCCTCTCTCCCCTCTTCTATCCAGATTCTCTCCTGATATCCCTGCTTCCTCTCTGACCGACCTTAAACTAAAATAGTATGCTGACCGACCCAACATGTATTCCAGTATTCGACATATGAACAATGACGCAATCCAATTGGCTTTTCATCCCTCTGTTCCTGCACTTCCCACTACAATTTAATCAATTGATTGTAATTTATGAAAGCCAAATCACTACTGGGGAACAGCTAGCGCACAATCTGAAGAATGATAGATCACATATAACACATGTTACCACCAAACCAGCCTAGACATGTATTCCACTTATTCTCTTCGGAGCAAAATGAGAGTAAGCTGGCTTTTTACTGGACAACCACTCCATAGTTTCATAAAGTATGTTGACACAATCTCATTATATGCTTAGTGTGTTTTGTTTGGACAATACACCAGATTAATCCATCTAATGTTAACTTATACCCAGTTACCTAACTAAAATATCCATCTAATGTTAACTTATATTAACAAAAATAAAAAAGAATATTAATTTAGTAATTTTTACCACGACAGTTTCGTGGATAAGTTATACAAGCGTTCTGGTATTAAATCTGTAAAGGAAAAATATAGGGGGCATCTAGAAAAGTAAATGCATCACGTGCACGGCTAAAATATTATTTCTACCCAATTATATACAACTTATCTATATTATTTCTACCCATTTATATACAACTACAATATCATACCACTTAAATACAAATTTTATATCTTTTGTATATTTTGTATCTGATTTATACATAATAAAAATAAATTTCATACAACTAAGCATATATTATACAATATGTCTTTTGTATATTTTGTATCTGATTTATACATAGTAAAAACAAATTTCAAACAACTAATTATATATTATACAACTTATCTACAACTTATCTGCAACTTATCTACAATTTTCATACATTATTTCACTCAGTTATATACAACTACAATATCATACAACTTAAATATAATTTTTATACAATATTATTCAACTTTCATACAATAGTTAAATAAAAAAATATATACAATAGTTAAATAAAAAAATATATATAAACAGCAGAATACAATTTTTCTATAATTTTTCTACAATTTTACTACAATTTCGTAAATATAATGTATTCATGTTTTCTTCTTCTTCTTCGAGTTTCAATCTAAAATTCAGCCAAAATCAAGTCTAATCTTCACCAAAACACCCTCAAAATTGAGATATAAACTCCAAACCATATTCCTAATTGTTTGCAACAACAACCAATCCAAACAAATAATGGTTTTTGAAAACCCAAATTCGAATTCAAAGCTTCAAAGCTTTTTAATGACTGTCAATGGTGGAATTGTTGCTCTCTTTTCCTTTGCTTTACATTACTGAAATTAGGGATTGAGAGATAGAGAGAGACATAGAGAGAATTCCCAATTCTTTGCAACAACACCCAATTCAAACAAATAATGTTTTTTGAAAACCCAAATTCGAATTCAAAGCTTCAAAACTTTTTAATGGTTGTTAATGGTGGAATTGCTACTCTTTGTGCAAGATACGTGGGGGAGGGGTGGGATGTGGAGAGAATTAATTCCCTTAGAATGTACATAAATGGTAATTGGGTATATAAAATGTAATTATAGTAAAACTTGAGTAGGAAGGGTAATATAGTTGCATATAGTGTATAGAAATGTAAAAATTCCTAAAATAAAAAGGGGTCATAACCCAACCTGTCCATATTTATACAGGCCCAATATGGGCTGGTTTGCAAATAATTCTGGTCCAACCAACATTTTAAAGATTAAATTTAGAGGGAAGTGCACAGTTAGCCACTAATAAGACATGTATTTACTTTTAAGCCACTGTTTAAAATGTCTTTAGTCTTTAGCCACTGCTTTAATAAACCTTTACCCGCCCGGACGAAAATACCCTTCTGCTAATAAAGTTCAGGACCAAGTGTCCTTAACTTATGAGCTTGTTACTGTAAGTTCAGGACTAGCTGTCCTTAACTTATGAGCTTGTAAGTCTAAGTTTAGGACTACCTGTCCTTAACTTTTGAACTTGTAACTCTAAGTTGAGGACTGCATGTCCTTAACTTTTGAACTTGGAACTCGAAATTCAGGACTACATGTCCTTAATTTCTGTGCTTGTAACTCTAAGTTAAGGACTACCTGCCCTTAATTTCTGAACTTCCAACTATAAGTTCAGGACCAAGTGTCCTTAAATTATGAGATTGTTACTGTAATTTCAGGACTAGCTGTCCTTAATTTATGAGCTTGTAAGTCTAAGTTAAGGACTACCTGTCCTTAGTTTTTGAGCTTGTAAGTCTAAGTTTAGGACTACCTGTCTTTAACTTTTGAACTTGTAACTCTAAGTTCAGGACTACATGTCCTTATTTTTTGAACTTGGAACTCTATGTTCAGGACTACAGTAGCGCAGCCCGTCTTCAAATGGTTTAGACATGTCTCCATTAATCTCCAACTCTTTAAGAGCAGTAAGGAATTCGAAACCATTAATCCCATTTTCTTTGTTTTCTCTATCAAATGGTTAGCTCCTTCTCGTTCTCTCTCTGACTTTTGAGAGAGATTTTTTTTCTCTGGATCTCACTCTTTTCCAATGTCTTAAATGCTGTGTTTGAGATTTGGGACACAATTGATGTCCGAGAGAATGATCAGTAGCTAATGTTGTCAGGGGATCTTTCTCAAGTTCGATGTAGAGAGAGAAGCGAGGGTTTGGGAAAAGCAATGGAAGAAAGGGTAAAAATATGTTTTCATATTAATTTTAATAGAATAGTGACTATTTTTGCTCAACATTAGAATTGCTAGATAAAAAATAAATACCAGCTTAAAAGTGGCTACCCCACGCCATTTTTACGTAAATTTACCCAAAAAACAAAAGCCAAGTCTGAATTCTTAGAATCTGGCCCAAAACAAAAGAAATTTTTGAATTCTTAAAAGGGATTTTTACATTCCTATACATTATTTGAAACCTTATTACCCTCCATGCTCAAGTTTCAATTTAATTACATGGTCATATACAATTTACCAATTATATACAAATAAGTTTTAAATGAGTATCCCTTTATGTTAGGAATTGAATAAGGAATATCAGTTATTTCCTTATCCCTTTATACTTGTCCACTCTCTCTCTGCTTTTTCCAGTATACCCATCGTCTAGCTTTCTTTCCAGTAGTGTGATCTTAATAAAAGAATATGATTTCTGGCAGTGGAACTTTCACACTTAATTGGTTATTATAAAATTTAGAGTTCACTGAACAAAGATTGCAACTCAAAAGTGCGGATTACAAACATTGAAAAGAATTACTAAATTCAAGACAAAGATATTGTAGTAATTCATCAATGGATTTCTTGCTGTATAGAGTTTCCACCATTGACATCCATTAAAAAACTTTGAAATTGAATTTGGGTTTTCAAAAACCATTATTTGTTTGGATTGAGTGTTGTTGCAAACAATTGAGAATATTGTTTGGAGTTTATGTCTCAATTTTGAGGGTATTTTGGTGAAGATTAGACTTGATTTGGGCTGAATTTCATATTGAAACTCGAAAGAAGAAGACATGACATATAATNATATATATATATATTTTATTTGAATATTGTGTAAAAGTTGAAAAATAGTTGTATTATATATGAATCGTTGTATAAAATTTGTATTTAAGTTATTAATTACATAAAGTTGTTGATATGTATCAAAATTTATTAAAAGAGTAAGTTTTGATTGGAATTTTAGAGAGGAAGAAGCACACACTACACACAAAATATATACAAATCAGATACAAAATATACAAAAAACATATTGTATAAAATTTGTATAATAATTGTATTTAAGTTGTGTGATATTGTAGTTGTATTTAACTGGGTAGAAATAATGTATGAAAGTTGTAGATAAATTATAGATTAGTTGTAAATAAGTGTATACTGTATAGTTAGTTGTAATTCAATATTACAAAATCAAATGCAGTGTGACTAATTCAATATTACATTCCAAGTTGCAATTGACTATAATTACATTGAGGGTAAAATTTGATTATGTAATTTGACCAAATAACTTGTAACTATAACTGTCAAAAATGTCGATAAGTTCAAAATGTCTCTGTGCCAATTCTCAGTACTTGTACTGAGTATTACCATTTATCTAAGTAGTAAGGAGCCCTATTTTCAAGTTGGTTGCGTGATAGACTTGTAGGCTTTCAGTGCTTATGATGTAGTTTTGATTTCCTCCGCGTTACGAAAAGTAATGCATGTTTAAAGAAATCAATTGTGTTAAGCTGATAGCATAATCAAATAAATATTATTCGTTGAAAGACATTTGCTAAAGAAGAATTTCGTGATGCTTAATTGTGTGAATATTAGAGTTAAATGCCAAGAGGTGTTGTTATGTCAACTATCACCAGTTTCTCAAATTATACATGGGGAGGCAACTAGATTTTATCATTATACAACTATTTTTCAACTTTCATATAACATTCAAATACAAAAATATACTCCCTCCGTTTCAATTTATGTGAATCTGTTTGACTGGGCACGGAGTTTAAGAAAAAATAAAGACTTTTGAAATTTGTGGTCCTACACATATCAAAAAGGGATCAAGAGTATTTGTGTGGTTATAAGTGCTTTTTATTAAAGGTAGAATTGGAAGTTTTAAGCTAAATTGTTTCCAAATTTATAAAGGATTCATTCTTTTTGGAACGGCCCAAAAAGGAAATAGGTTCACATAAATTGGAACGGAGGGAGTATATAACAACAACAGAATACAATTTACCTACAATTTTACTACAACTTTACTATAGTTTCATAAGTATATTGTATGCCATGTCTTCTTCTTCTTTTTCTTCGAGTTTCAATCTGTAATTCAGCCAGAACCAAGTCTAATCTTCACCAAGAACCCTCAAATTGAGATATAAACTCTAAAAAATATTCCCAATTGTTTGCAACAATACCCAATCCAAACAAATAATGATTTTTGAAAATCCAAATTCGAATTCAAAGCTTTATGATGATTAGTTTTCGAATTTCAATTCCTACGACCTGGAAGTTACTTCAATAGGTTGATTGGCAGAAGACAATTTTTAGGCTTACCTAATTGAGAGAGAAAAACGGTGAGAGAGAAAGATGAAAAAGGAAGTAAATTGATGAGAGATGCGGCAGTGAGGAAAGAGGAGAGGAGAGAAAAAAGGAAAAGAATGTAACTAAATCCCCTAATTCAAAGCACTAATAATGGATTGTATATAATTTGTAAGTAATCTTTTAGGGTGGGTAATATATAAAACTAGGACAATTTTGATAAACAAGTTTCAAATATTGTATAGGAAGGAAAAAATCTCTTCTTAGAATACAAGCATATATGCGTTCTGCTTGACATAGCATTACAAACAACTATATAGAAGGTTTAGTTACATCGAAGGTTCTTTCTTCCTACATATCAGATGTATCAATTTGTAGTCAGGAAATTGGCTTATTTGCATGAAGAATTGGAAACAAAGTTCAGGTGATATATCGTGGTTTTGGTCCAAGATCGAAGTGATATATCGATATTTAGAATACGCTAATACTCTAACCTTGTGATTTAGTCCAGGAACAGCCATAGAATTCCATATATTATATAGGTCCAACAAAACTTTTGATTTTGTTCAGTCATAGAGTATTCTAAATGTATGTTTTCACGAAGATTTAGAATACTCTACGACTCTAATAAAAATCAAAAGCGAGGTTAGACTAAATGGAATCCAATGGCTGTTCCTGAAGTCTGGGAATAAAGATTGGAATTTTATAAGCTCTGTCAACATTTGTAAAGGGAGCAAAATGCAGCGTTTCTATTTTACTTCAGGGATAGAACCAGGAATAGGTAAAGCCGATCAGCATCAGAGGGCACTTCATGATCAGAGCAACTAATAATTTGAATAATGATTTCCCAAGAGAAAGTAGTTTTCACTTCCTCCATTCACATCCAGAAAAGTAAAATAAAAAAATAAATCTTTTTTAGAAAATTTGTATCTGGGGGTGTCTTTAATACTAATATAAACGAAAAACAAATATGAATAGTACATACTTCAGCGAGCCAACAACCCCGTCGTATATGGAGAAATTCAGAAAGTCAAATCCAAGACTCACCACAAAGTCGGAAAAAAATTGTCGGATGGAAAATGAACCTGAAACTAAAAATATCAAAAAAAAAAAATATTAAAAGAATAATCAAATTCCTAATTGTAGTTCGAGATTAAAATATCGTAGGAGTAAACCTATGACTTTCAAAATTATAAGCTTGTTATTGTAGAGAGAATAGAATAACCTGAGAATGATAGATGAAGACTCGGTGATGAAGAGAAGCTTAGAGAGAGACCAGTCTAACTGTAACTTTGGATCAAATGGGGGACAAATGTTTATTTTGGGTTGTTCGTAATAATGACAAGAAGTTGGGACCTCATAAGAACAAACTAAGAAAATTGTAAAAATGCAAACAAGTCCAAGAAGTTATAACAGATGGAGTAACTGGCCCCTAGTGCTTTTTGTTCGGTTCTAATGGAAAAGGAATTAAATTTGTCACAGCAAATGAGATTTAACCCCAAAAGTCATAATTTGATTTGACTAACTTATAATCTTACCAATTACTCTGATTAAAATAAGGAAATTTTACGAGCAAAGGTATACACCCTATTTATTATAAATCAAAATTATTTTAAAATATTATTTTTTATAGCTACCTTTTATATTTTATAGCAAAATAAGTATTTATGGTAGCGTGAAATATGCTATTTATTTTTCCTCTCTCTTTCTTTCAACTAATACACGATTCTCTCTCGTAATTTTTCTTCTTTCTCTCTCTTCCTTCTCTCTCTTCAAGCAAAATACCTGCCTCTGATTGTGAATTCTCTGGCCGAGTCCTCCAGGGTTACTGCAATTAAAAATACTTCCAAATTGTTGGGAGAAAGAGGAGAAAGACGGACCTTTTCTTCGAAATCAGATTCCTACATAGCGAGGAGGGGCTCGTTGCTCTGAGGCTAGGGCCACTGCGCGGGGAGCAAAAACGATGTCGGATTAATCCGAGTAGAGCATGAATACTATAACATGAACGACGGATACTGCAATATTTTCTACGCCGGAGAAGATTTGAGAGCCGGGATTTTTTGTTCGCCTCCATTTTTAATTTTAATAAAATGAATACAATATTTTGTTTGGCCGAAAAACGCCATCTCTGACAAACTCTTCTTTGCTATTTAATCACATACAATGATAAAATACATTGTATTCTGTACAAATTCACTCAAACACGTTTGTATTTTTGTATAAATACATTTTTTTGCCTGTATTCATGTGTTTTCGAATGTCTGTATTTTTTAAATACAGCTGAATACATGCATGAATGTAGGATATAAACATTTTAATACACTGAATACAACCATTGAAATAGAAAAAATTATAAACAATGAATACATTTAATTTTAAAATATAGTGAAATACAGTAAAATGCACTAAATACAAATAAAAATACAGTGAATACAACCAATAAAATATACTGAATACAGCAGTAATAACGTGTGTTAGGAATAACTAAAATAATATTAGTATGAATACATTTGAATACAAAATAGTGAGTACAGTAAATACAAATATTGAATCTAATGAATGCAACAGTAAAAAATAAATATTAACACACACTAAATACAACAATTATAACAATTGAAAAATCATTCTAATTAATTGCGTTGATAATGAGTCGTGTTAGAAGTGATTTTATTGAGTTATATTAGGAGTGTATCACGCTAATTGATCCTATTTTCGTTATTAGATAGTTGGACAGATCTATTTTTAAGGTGATTGTCGTTACTGTGTTCATGAATACATGGCGCGAATACATGTGAATACAGTCGCGCACAACTGTAACTCCCTGTTTTTAAACGGCTTTTGCTACTGTATTCATGAATACAGTAACACGAATACAACGAATATACTATCATAACAACTGAATAATAGTTATAGGAAGTAATTATGTATATAATTGCTATAAGAAGTTAATAGCGACTACACAATAGTGGTTTCTGACAACATAGGGCATTTTACTGATGGGATAAGAATAGTTATCTCAACATAAAATACCTTGGTATTTTTGTTTCGATATAAGTAATTTTGAGATTATTTTTTATAAGTAATATTATTTTTATTTTTATATTCAATTTGGTTAGCAATCTAATCTTGAAATAAATCAATAAAATGATATATTTTCTCTTCTCCCAAAATTTTAAGTGAATCAAGATTAAAATTAAACAACAACTTCCAATAATAATTTTAGTATTATTTAATTTCTTATTCTAATCTCAACATCATATTACTTGTTCTCAAACCAAAAGATCCCTCAAAGAAATATACAATAGTGAGTTTTGTGAAGCAATTTTAAATACTCTTTCTATAAATTTCAGTGAAAAGAGAGGTGAAAATGAAGTGGTGCAACTAAAGAAAGGCGAGTGAATGTCAAAACTGGACTGCTGCTTGTGCACTTATTGTACCATCGTCTTCAATTCAATTCAAGTCTGCAATCACAGTAGCTGCACTAACCCAACAAAGCAAGTATCTTTCCTCACTCTTTTGTTTATCTCTGTGACAAAATCTGAATGATCACTCGTCAACCTTGAAAAATTTCCAACTTTCTTGAAATTGTCATGTGGACTTAGAGCTGTGCAAAAGATTTTCCCTTTTTCGTTTTCCCACAATTTTTCTATTTCCTAGTGGGTTGTTCTGCCATTCGTTGAGTTAGGCCTAGATGATTACCGTGGGTTGGATGATTCTGAGTTTAACATTTTGTTATGTTTTCTTTGAGGAACCCATGTTGAATTATTTCAGCATAGATGCTTTTTAGTGAAATCAAAGATCTCAATTTTCTTTGATTACTTTTTAGGATTATGGTTTGGCCATGTTGGTGTACTTACATTTGGTCATGTGCTTGTTAGGAGTCTCTGTAGTTTTGTTATAAATTGGTCCAATTCATATAGCTGATCCCAGCTAGTTCGGGATTAAGGCATATTTCTTGTTGTTGTTGACTTGTTTTTAGATTGAATTGGAGGGCTTGTGTTCTTTAGTATGCTTCATTTGGGCCTCTTTGTATTTTTTTTAAGAAAAACAAGTAAATTATCGACTACTTTTGAGTTTGCAGATTTATCAGTCTTGGATTGCACATTTCAAGCTTTTCAAAGTGAGAACTGTTAAATAATGGCAGTGTAAGTTTGGGATGTTTATCTTTTGAATTTTTTCCATTTTATGTTTACTTTAATAATCCATAGCTTTTATATGCATGAATGTCTGATTTTCGGCTTATTGATCGTTAAACAGAGTTGCCTCTGCTCCTGGAAAGGTTTTAATGACAGGAGGTTATCTTGTTTTGGAGAGGCCTAATGCTGGTATTGTACTCAGCACAAATGCTCGTTTTTATGCAATTGTGAAGCCACTTTATGAGGAAATTAAACCTGAAAGTTGGGCATGGATGAGTGATATTTGCTGCACTTAACTGAATAGTGATTGATCTGAAGTATGTATAAGCATGTCTTTTTTCTTCTCCTTTCTTGAGAAGTGCTTTTTTATTTAGTCCCCTCCGCTTTTTTTTCCCGCTGTAAGGCAATTTTCTTATTCGTTTTCAGGTATGGACAGATGTTAAATTGACTTCACCTCAGATGGCAAGAGAAACCATGTATAAACTGTATCTTAAACACTCGAAGCTTCAATCTGTTTCTTCAAGGCAAGTGCTTTCAGTTAAAGGAAATAATATTTCTCTTTATATGTTTGTGAATTTTCTAAAATTTGCTTTTTGAAGTATTCAGATATAACCTGGCTACTTATTATTGATTTTATTTGATCTTTTTTATTATAATAAGAATATGTAAGTCATCTAAATGGCAAGCAGTATGGTATTTCATATTTTTTTGGTTGAACCTTAGTGAATCAAGAAACCCCTTCGTAGAACACGCGGTGCAGTATGCCATTGCTGCAGCCCATGCAACATTTGACAAAGATAAGAAGGATGCATTACACAAACTACTTCTGCAGGATAATGTCTGACACTCTCACCTTTCATATCTGAGGATGATGACATTTCCTGAATATTAGACTTTACCACCTAATTATTGTTAAAGAAATTAGAAAACTAATGTATCCAACTGCTCCATGAAGGTCTTGACATAACTATCTTGGGTTGCAATGAGTTCTATTCGTATCGGAATCAGGTGTGTTCACAGCTTACTTATATTTCCAATATGGGATGTGGTTCAATGATATATAAATTACCTGTGAGTTCAGTTTGTTGCACATGAAGTGAAATTTGATATTCCCCAATAACTGTACCCAAAGTTGTTTAACTTTATGTTATAATTTGTGGCAGCTGTTCCAGGAATTACAGTTACGGCAGGGAAAAGTATCAAATGAGACTACTTATTATTATTCTTTTTTTAAAAGGTTCATACGAGACTACTTATTACCCTGCCAGTTGTTTAATTTAGGTTTTGCCCAATTAGTGAATGGCTTAACAAAAAAAATAACCTCAGCCCTAGAAAGTGACCTAAGTTGGCTTAATAATCAAATTGACCAATTGCTGGACTAATGTTTGACTAGATTTTTTCCAAGTTCAGAAAATAACACTGGGAAAATATAAAATTCTAATTGGAAATACTATGAATACATTTTCAGTTACATTTGCAAATTACATAAGTTTGTGACGAAGTAAAAGTAGAGTAGCCAATTTGAATAGAACAAACCTGCAGAAATTGTAAAAAGAATGACTGTCATCCACCAAGGCAACATTTGTAAGATTTTAATGGCCATGGATTTTCAGTGGGGGATTGAATTTATTGGAATTTTCAACCGATACAGATGGAAAGAAACTGATAAAACATTCCTACAGAAGTCTGCTTCTCTAATTTATTAAGTTATAGGATTTTTGTTCAAAATATAAAAACAATAACGATACAAGGATTTTGTATAATATCAAAAGAAAAATAATACAAACTTTCAAATTATCCTGATTAGCTATTGCTGTGACTTATATACTTGATCACATTAAGTTAGTGAAAGGACTATAGGGATGAAAAATTACAATGACATTTGATACGGGGATTTTGCGAGGCTAGAACTGGTCAACTCAGATTAGTCCTTTATTATTTTCATTGACTGAAATATTCAACTTTCTATTAAATTACATTGAGGAATTCTGAGCTGCACAAGCTAACATACTGTCTAAGATGTTATCCTACTAGGTATTTTACCTGTATTCCTTGTTTGATAATAATTTAGACCACTCTGTTAATTATGTATGTAGATTGAAGCACGTGGGCTCCCTCTTACACCTGAGTCATTGGCTTCGCTGCCACCTTTCGCTTCAATCACCTTTAACGCAGAAGAATCAACTGGAGAAAATCATAAGCCTGA